GGTTTGGTTCATAGTTCGGTTTGTGATTCAGCCATGAACCATGAACTGACACAAATGGCATTTTCCAGTTTGTGCCCATCCCTATTTACTAACATTATTAAGTAATGAATTCTTCTGTAAATTTGCAAACCTACTGAGAAAAATTTGATAAATGGGATATAGCTACTTAGGATTGCAGGACTATGAATCCTGCCTTAATGTTCATAGGAGTGCATAGAAACCAAAAATCATAGCAGTGCAAAACGCTTAGGAGTGCATAGAGACCCTTTCAGTATCTTTCCTTTTGACACTGATGGCAGCCCCAGTCATCATGATTGTTGTAGTAAACTCTGGGGTTAGATGATGTTTCCTGCAGAAAATACAGAAATGGGGAAATCATGCATGCTGGAAATCCTGGTCCTTTCAGACTTACCAGAAACATATATGAGCTCCACATATTTCATGTTGGCTGAAGCAAACACTGTTGTACAGGTATTGTAACTTACGGAGTTTCCCAAATTATGATCTTCTCCATGTAATAGCACCAGATTGGTAGACTTCCACAATGAATAAGAGACCTGAGCCCTGGTTCTTCTAAAGGAGGTACTGTTCAACCCAAGGAAGGCTAATCACAATTTTGGATATGCACTTTTTATCTAAATCTCATCGGAGATATGAAACAATCCTTTCTGTTAAAGCAGCACAAATGAGTAGAAGTGATGAATGGTGGCATTAACCTTACCTTAATGAAACTTGCAATAAGACTGATGGCCTCTGTAGGCACTGGCATATTTCACAACAGACAGACCCCTTGCATATTTCCATTTATCTGACCTCTGGACTGTAAATCAGACAGTGGCCTCATTTTGGGGTGAAGCTAGAACAGTAACGTTGTAGGTGTTGGCCAAGTGTAACCACTTGGACACCTTTTTTCATCACCTATTATTAAAAATAAAGAGCAAACACTGCAGCTCTTCATTATCATGATTAAAATAGTGTGATTGTTTTTTTTAAAAAAAACACTTTGCATTTTGATTTGCTGTGCTCATCAGCAGAAATGAAAGAAATCCTATCCAAAGCAATTTATGAAATAAAGCTTTTCTGATATACTTGCTGCAAACTGTTGAGTGCAGCACAATGGAATTTCTTCTGATGATGTTTCAAATGTGATACATACTAGTTTTGCCGTTCTACTTTAGTGTCCATATTAGATAGTTCTGCAAAAATGGATCCTGATGTTGCAATCACTTAGGTGCATGCCAGAACAGGAAGTCAAACCGTGCATGTGAGTATGTATGTGTGCAGAGGTCATTTCATAGAAAAAGAGCTGCAGGAGCTCATTAGCATAAGGTATGCAAATGAGCTACTAGGCTATTACCATAATAGCTCATTAGCATATGCCACTCCCCCTGACATCACTGGAAGTGATGTCAGAAGGGGAAGCAAAAGGGGGAGAAGGCATCTTCAAAAGCCTCCCCTTCCCTTCCCCAGCTAACCTGCAAGGAAGGGGGGAAGCGAATAGAGAAGGGGTTTAAAGTTTAAACCCCTTCTCACTAGAGTTGGGGCGCAGAAGGAGGAAAGAGGGAAGGAAAGAGGGAAAGAAAGAGAAGGAAAGAAGGAAGGAAAGAGGGGATAAAAAGAGAGAAGGAAAGAGGGAAAGAAAGAGAAAGGGGAAAGAGGGAAAGAAAGAAAGAGAGAGAAGGAAAGGAGAAAAAGAGAGAAAGGAAGAAAAGGAAAGGAAAGGAGAGAAGGAAAGCAGGGAAAGAAAGAGGGCAAAGAGAGGGAGGAAGGCTCTCCCACCCCCCATCAAGCCCCCCCACCCCATGGATCCCTCATGCAGATCCCTCACTTATCACGATCAAGGCCTTCCCCAGGCTGCAGCCCTCTGGCGTGGGCCCCGGGCAATGATCCCTCTAAGCTGTGGAGTCTTGTGAGCAAAAATTCTACTCTGTGAGCTACTGGCATTAAAGTTGTGAGCTACTGCATAAATTAGTTTACTCTGTAGGCATCTTTCCTGAACTAAGACAAAAACGTGTGAGCCGGAGGCTAGAAAATTGTAAGCTAGCTCACACTAACTCAGCTTAGAGGGAACACTGGCCCTGGGAGGCCGGAGACGGGCCTCTTCAGGCCTCCCCCGGGCCACAGCACTTCTGCGCGGGGAGCTGGGGGCGGGGCTTGCCACTACTGCCATTTGTGCCAGCTCCTGGGCTGCCGGAGCAGTGCTCTAGCGTGCTCTGGCCCCAAATGATCCCTGTATGTGTGTCTATGAGCTAAAGAGAACCCAAGTACATATAGAGGGGGAGGTTGCTAGAGGTGTGCATTTTGGGAAAAAAATGTTAAAATTCAGATTTGGAGTTTTAATGGAGATCACCAATACCATAATCTTGATTTTTTGAGTAGCCCTATGTCAGTTCAGTTTTATTTTCATGGGTGTGTATGTGGGAGGAGAGATTTCCAGACTTAAGGATTGTTTCCTATGGAGGAATAGGAGATTTTTCTGGCAGGTCTGAAGCAGGTGTTTTTAGAGCAAATGGCACCAAACTTTTAGGGAACCAAGACCCCCCACCTACGTTTGATGTGGATTGGACAAAGGAGTCCCAACTTCACAGATCCCTGAATAAGGTGCCCCCAACCATTCTGGTCTCCAGTGTTTCTATAGGGAAAATAGGGGATTGTTCTGGTGGTCTGGGGTGGGTGTTTGTAGCAAAAACAGCACCAAAATTGCTGGGTAATAATTCTTCCCTCTGTCCTAAAGACTTCTCAGATTTGAAGGGGATTGGACAAAGGACCTTTAAACAAAGTGTCATCCTGGTTCACATTGTTTCCTGTGGGGGGAAATGTTGTGCTGACTCTAAGGCAATGTTAAACAGCAACAGAGACCCCACAAATGCCAAAAAGTTCCATAATTCAATTCTTTATTCCACAAGTACACAGAATGACCCTGAAAAGCATTTTAATGTACATTTACAGCTTGGAAATTTCAGTATGCACATTCCTAGATGTTGCTGTTTTATCTTTCTAGCTCCAGTTCCTTGTACTACAATGAATACTTTTCACAGGACAGAAAAGATTCCAGTGTGGTTTGAAAAGTCCAATTGCTCATATAGAGAAAACAGATCACTGGAAGTATATTCCACTGTATCCAAGTGGCACCAGCCATCATGTCATTGTGGAACCTGATGCAGATATTTCCCATACAAGCACTACCACTTCTGAAAGGAAAGTGACATTGCTGTGGATGGTGTCTTTGCCAGGCCTGATGGCTGGTACTACACATGATGAGTGCTCCATGCCAGGACTATGTCCAGTGATGTTGGTAACATGTGTAATGAATCTGAAGTAAAGCAAAGTATTCAAGACTGAAGTTAAAATTTGCTCAAAATATTATGAAACACTAATATGCAACCTTAAAGCAGAATGGATTCAGGTGGGTAGCCATGTTGGTCTGAAGCAGCAGAACAAAGTTTGAGTCCAGCGGAACCTTTAAGACCAACAAAGTTTTATTCTGGGTGTAAACTTTTGTGTGCACGCTGAAGAATCTAAAGTATCTGAAGATGTGTGCGTGCACACAAAAGCTTATACCCAGAGTAAAACTTTGTTGGTCTTAAAGGTACCACTGGACTCAAACTTTGTTAAAGCAAAATAGTTTAATTACATTATAGGACTACTAAAATCTTGTTTTTTTATAGAATTTGGGGAAAATGTTCTCTACATACATTAAAGATTTTGGAAGGGGCTGGCAAGGCCAGAAATTATCCCCTGGAAGCAGCTCATAAATCCTTTTTGGCTTCTACTGTTCATTCATGTACTTCCAAGCTTTCATGCATATGCAAATTGGAGAGCTGTTTCTTTAAATTTTGGGACTTACCAGATGGCACCAGACCCTTTTCCTCAGTGCTCACACAGTGCCAGGTTAACACAGAGACACATAAGCTTTTTGAATCTGTGAGGCTAGGAACATGAAGGGATAGTGCTTGTACTGTAGTGGTGGAAATTGTTCTCCAGTTGCAGCCAACGTATGATGACCCCATAGGGTTTTCAAGGCAAGAAAAAAAAAAACAGAAGTGGTTTGCCATTGTGTAGCAACCCTGCACTTCCTTAGGGGTTTCACATCCAAGTAGTAACTAGGGCAAATCCTGCTTAGCTTCAGAGATCTGAGGAGATAGGGCTGGGCTGGGCCATTCAGGGTCAGGGTGCTTGGACTATAGAGTTAATTTATTTAGGACATTTTGATGTTGCCTCTCCAGAGTACTGCTCCAAGCAGCGTAAGTTTCTAATATAGTGGCATCTAATGTATTCTTATGTATTGGTGTCTAGAAGCATGCGTGTTCAACCACTGTTTACATTACTGCAAATTTAAAATTTAGCATCAGAACCATTTAAAGGAGTTTTCCCTTTGGGACAGTGGAGAAAAATACCATAAACATGAATTGCAGTTTCATATTGAATGACATTCACTCCTAATCCCTAGACTCCTTTTTGGATCTGGGAGAGGTTAAATGGTACTTGTAGTAGGCAACTTCTGAAGGCAGAAAGGGCAGATGAACATGAACATGTATGGGAAAGACCGCTGAATGTAATTGAAACAGGACAGTCATACTTTGAGGTGTGTGTTTGTGTGCATACACTTAACCATATGTATGAACACAGAATCACATACATTCAGAAAGGCTACTTTTGGAATATACGACAGCATTTATAAATACAACAGTATGACAGAAACTTTTTGAAAATACAATAGTAATGATTTGTAACTTTGCAAGAGCCATCTTTTCAATCTCAGGTTTTATTTCAAAAGTTTGCATATTAGTTAAAATTTAGAAGCAAGGGTATGATTATTTTAGAAAATATATTTGCTCTTTAGTTTCAGATACTAATCGTGTAACTTTGCTTGAAGTCAGGAACATAATAGAGATTATACAGACAGATCACCTAAATGAAGCTAACTGGAAATTATTAATTCACTGGAACTGATAGAGCGATAACAGTGGTGACAAGTGATGCTTTATTATCTTTCATAGGCAATTTCATTCCTGACTCCGCTGGCAGTCATTTTTGTGGTGAAAATCATCCGACGAACAGACAAGACTGAAATTAAAGAAGCTTTTTTAGGTACGCTGTGAGCCGTATTGATTTTAAAAATTGAAAAATTACCATTTCATGAACTTGGATCTCTCTCTCTCTCTTTTTGAAAAGAGATCTGCCCAATGTTCTTACGTTCTTGTATGTTACAGAGCAAAAGCTTTTTATTCTTCCTGAAAATCTGTGTTCTCCATGGCTTCTTAACAGTAAAAAGTACTGGTACGAGTAGTAAAAGCAAGGAAAGGCGATAGGAGTGGTCGAAACGTATATGCAGGTTGAGGATTGTCATAAACAGAGTTTTTGCCTTGGGGAGTAGAACAGGAATGTCCATGTGTGCTCAAGTTAGTAGGAAAAAATTCTCTCCATCGATCTTTTTCAAAGATTGCCAAACTTTTTAAGTCATAAAAGTTCATATCAAACTCTTCCAGCTGAGTGCCATGAAATAATAAGCATGAGCTTTCACAGTTTA